TGCGTTTAATATTGACCAGAGAACAAATTCGTTCGCACCACCCGAGAGCGGAACTGAGAATATCTCAAATGATTATATGCTTATTTTGTTTTTCTATCAGAAGTGAAAACTATTCCTCTTAAAGTCCTCATACTCATGCAATTGTGTTCTTTGTTTAAATTAATAAAATTTTATGTATAGCGTAGCATGATGATAGCAGCCTAAGTTACCAACTGACTTATGCGTTAAGGAAAGGCATCATCTTCTCCGGTACCGTATCCTTGGTTCGTACGACATGATCTGGTACACAACCCATGACAATCATGACGCAAGAATTCATGACACGATTTTTCCTCAAAACGTTAAATGAACCTGAGAATTGACAAATTTAAGACAATGATGAAAAAGCATAATATACTAGTTCAAAGAAAACTTGACTGTAACGGGGTAACACGTACCCTGGTAGGAAGGGGTGGGTCGCTCAAGATGGTGTGGCTACACCTTAGCAAAAAGTCACTACGTGGCTGGACTGCCAGCAGTTATGCAAATCAATTAGGTTCTATTATTTAACCGAGAAAACCTATACTTGATATCTCAGCTGCTGACAGCGTGACGCCCCTCGTGTAAAATACAAACAAAAAATACACTTTACATTTTAAAAGGAAGAGTTTATTTGCCGGGAGATAAGGTTGTGGTTAGTCTTGGAGTAAGCAGATTGCGATCAGCTAAATTCGTATTGGCTCTAAGTAAAAACAAAGATCACCGATCTTAGCTAAGCTTTTTACGGCGGCCCCGCAGCATTGGCCCAAAGAGCTCACGTAGATAAATTTCTGGAAAATTACTTTTTACTTAGCACTAAGAAGTGCGATCAAATGCCTTGTAGGTAAAACACATAATTTCTCTTCTATACATCAAATAAGGCTTTTTCTTACAAAGTTTAAGCCTAGTACTTTTGATTTTTCGGTAACAAATCCACATGTATTGTATTACGTTAGGCTTACAGCCAACGGATGCTCTGTCAAGTATAGTTTCCTCTCAGTTCAAAGAGCTGGATATTTTTAAAATCAAAACTATTTCAAGCTCGTACTGTCAATACATCTATGCTACCGACAACTCTAAACTGTTGTGTATTGCTTAGCGTTTAACTAGTAGCCCCGTGCCTCTCAGACCTGTCAAATCAGAGAGCTATCATACTTGTCATAACTTTCTAAGCTATTTAGTGCTTGCCGAGCACATAATGCACTTGGATGTACGCTGCAACACTTGCACCTTATCGTTTACCCCAACGAGCACCATCCGCATCATGTATCTTCTTCCTTACGTGTTCCTACGGCTCGACGACTCCTAAAGAAGACAGAGTCCTCTTGGCTTTCAATCGGAAAGTCGTCCCCGAGGAAAAAGCCAAAGTAGACTTGAATGCTTACGCTTGTAGTGACTTAGCGGATCCTGATCTAACATTTTGGCCCTCATTCAGAGACATGCGATTAAGCCGCTCGCTGATAGCGCGGAAATGTCTACGTTTCACCTCTCTTCTCCATTAGTCATGCACTTCATGCTCGTTGCTGCGACGAAAAGTGTCACGACATCCCACATCGGGGCTCGCGACAACGTCCAACTTGCCACCAATGAGCCGAACTTCCGATCTTGCCCGTTTGCATTCAATAAAGCCGCGAAATCTTGCAAATTCGATCGCGTCGTGATTATGCATTTAACTATTTAATGTTGATCGCCACATGATGACAGAATCATTATACGCTTGTGCGTGCGAATTATCCTCTAAAACGGTGAGTGAAATGAGCTTCAGAAATGTACTTCACCCCCTATCTGAGAATTACATGTCACCACTTTTCGAAATTCCAGCCGCTTTTGAGCATTCGGGTTAATCCAAACCTCTGTGAGGACCGTTTTGTAAGTACTGAATGCTGGAAAAAGTACTGACGGATATCACAAATGACTCGAGTGACGGGTGAAGAAGACTCATCGCCTCATCCATTTCACAGCTTAACAAGCCAGCCTCGGTGAAGAATACATTTAACTGGAATGTCGATCTGGGTTAACTTTGCGAAGAACAAACGCGACGTGATCGTCGATGTGAACCTCAATATTCGAGCTATTGCTGGAATTCACCCCACACATCTTGATGACCGCTTCTGGCCAGTCTTGACCTTAGAATAACGTTAACAGCTGAAAAGCGCGTTAAACTGAGGCACTCTACCTTTTTCACATGAGACTTGGTGGAATGCTCGTAGTGAACTAAGCTATTTGTATGTATTCTTCAACCTCCGCCATTTCACTGAGTGGAATAAGGCACCTCAAGCGCTCATAATATTAGACCGCTGCTCTAGATCAGAAGGTAATTAATAAGATAACTGAAATGCTTTTGCTACTTCAGCAGAGCGATTCACACCAGACTGGCTTGTAAGAGCCTATTCGTGATCTGGTCAACAAGCCACCGCTGTCCTCGCATATTTTTTGTAATGGTAAGAAATTACGTTTTTGATGCAACCTCGAATGGCCTGACGTAGTGCGGTAGCAATTTTGTTTTATAACAAATGCAGACCTTGCTTGTACTGGTCGAATAGCAGTCATCATATAAGCTAATTCTCTACCCATATTTGAATCTAGTTCGGTTATCGCTAAATTGGTATGCTGCTTTGCATAACCTCATAGGAGCGCAAACTCGGCGCACGACACTACTGTATCAAACAAACGTTTCAAACTTGTGGTCGGGCTGGCATTGTGCCCGGTATGTTTTCGAACGGAAGGATCAAAAAGATAATAGAGCCAATTGTTAGTGCCAGAACAACAATTTTTGCGGATTTCTGCTGCATTTACGGAATCAGCCGAATGTTGTCTGCAATACAGGCTGGGGTCACATAATCCCTAGCTCTCATTTCTTTTCAAACCATTGAAACATCCTCCCTGGGCAATAAAACTGTAACAACCAGAATAAGATGCCTGTGTTGTCCATTTGTAGTCGCAGTACGGATCGTATTAGTAGATTACAGACACTAGCTCCTGCACAGCTTTGATAATCTCGAGATTGTCTTTTGTCAACCGCAACACCTTCTCTTGGTGCTATAAAGCCGAATTGACGGCTGTAGTTGTAAATTAAGCTTCATGAATGCTGAAACTTTTCCTCAGGATATCTCAGGGCAGCGACTATTGCTTTGAAATTTGTTAGATAACGCTTGGCGTGAGAGTTCGCGCTATATGACAGCCAGCTTGCATTTCAAGTCTAAGAAAGTGCCACCGGATGCTCAAAGAGTTGTTTGTCTAGTTGCTTGGCGAGATCATTGCGCTCTATCATGGGCATCATCCAAAGTAGCTTCCAGATTTTTTTTCATATTGCCGAAGCCATATTGCGTTACAATGCTTTGCACTGAAAATGATATTGAATGCAGCGGGGCTGCCGTAGCTTTGCGCTTAGAGCTAGCGTAAATCAGGTCACCGACCTCTCCTTCTATACTTAAAGCAAGTAGAAGTACAGCGGATCGCATTCCGCTTACTCCAAAAGTAATGACAACCTTAATCCAAGGCTAATTAACTCTTCCGTTTAAATTCAAAACTGATTTTTGTTTATTTATATCTGCGGCAAAGCCGCCTAATTTTAAATGCATAGATTTTCCTAAATATGTATAGTAGAATCAAAATACATGTATAACTACTGTCTATCCAGCCCCGTACCGTAATCTTGTGTGGGTGTGGTCACACCATGCCCATCTGGTCTGACTCACACCCTGTTTCCAGGGCATGTGTAACTCCGTTAAACTCTCTCCCATTTTGATTAAAAATATTTGCAATTCCAATCGATTATTGCCTCAACGAGGCTTGTGTGTCCGTTAGACACTGCGTTGGAAATTAACGACTTTAGTGCTCAATGAGCCCTGTGTCAAAGACACCGAAGTCTATGTCTCGCTGGCTCCGACAGCACTCACGGGCAGAGCTCAACTTCGTCTTCCGCACGCAGCGCCATGTCGGACCGTGCGTCCGCGGCATCAAGGGATGTAAATTCTAGGCTTGTTGAGCCCGAGCGTCGCGCTCCGCGCACGCTATCAGCGACGAGTGACCTCGTTGGGGATGTGGAGGTGGTCGGCAACGAGTGTGACACTCCTTTTCCCGGGTGGGATGACGAGGAAGGCGAGCCACGCCGGCGGCATGAGACGAGCCTTGCTCGCGCCTTGCAAACCCCATTCCGGACCTCTCGTCACCTGAGGAACGTGGTGTCATCACCAATGACCTCGACAAGGCACAGAGGCGGCAGTGAAGCTGCCACTAAGGCGGCTCTGATGTGCGCCCATCCACGGTCAGCCATTGACCCTCGTGTGGAATATGGCTTCTACCCGGCGGATTCCGCTGTGGAAGCGACGGTAGCGGTAACTCGATCGTTACGCGTCCACGTCATCATGTCCCCGGCCATTACGGAATCTGGGCTTCCCGAACGGAAAGCTCTTCGAGCTCGTATCTTGGTCCCACAAGAAATTCCGTTGGACGTTTATCGCACTCGTCTACGTGCTCAACG